ACTTTCAGTGGTGCAGAAGTAGTCAAAAAAAAATGACACACAACCACACAAAAAAAAAAAAAAAAACCACTGACAAACTCACAGGCATCAGCAGAAATGAAGGGTGTCTTTCCTGCTTCTTCAGAACTCATCACCTGATCCTGAAAACCGAGAGAGAGAGAAGTCAGGGAAAGACACCCAATAAGGGCTGTGTGGGATGTGGTGGTTGTAGCTGTGTGTTTGTGTGTGTGTGCGGGAGGTTGTGTGTTCGTTCCTATCATTGTTGCATTTTTAAGGGACAGCTGAAATATCAGGTCTACTTTCAGCTTAGAGCACAGAGGCTCCCTGGACTGTGGTGGGGAGGCAGAGGGTGTTAATCCGCACGAAGGGTGCGGTTCCTGCCTCCTACTCCGAGTTACAATCGGGCACGTGGCGCTTGAACCACTCCAATGCCAAGGGGCTGGGCTCAGACTCGACTATCAGGGCGGGGTCCAGGTGACCAGCTAAGGTTTCCGTTCAGGCGGGGTTACCTGTACGCCTGCAGCATCAGAGATCAGCTGATGGGGTGTTACGGCACACTCCTGTGCTATCGGCTGCTCCTCCGCCACCTCCCTCTTGATGGAGGGACACGTGACTTGGGGCTGCATCTCTGAATAATCCGGGTTCCCTGGGGAAGACAAAAGCGGCAGTTAGACCACAATAATTATTAATAATAAGAATGACAAAAATAATTATAATAATATTTTTTATTGGTAATGTGCAATTCTCACATCTAATGCACCACTAAGTGAAAATACAGTTAAGGTAAAATAGCGACAAGATGAAGCAGGCAGAAAAGCAATACAGAAACTGGAGAAAGAATTTAATAGAGGCTAGCTGCAATAGAAATAAATAATTATAAATAATAATATTTATTATTTTATTTACGTAAAAACATAAAATTAACACTCTGGGAAAGTAAACCTAAGTAAGGGAATCTTTTCTTTAAAACTTCAAGAGTGGTTCTCTATATAAATAGGACTCAGAATGGCCGTGTATTCCATGTCATTCATCCTCATTGTCTCTCCAAAAGAACCTCAGTACCCTTCCAAGGTAACCTCATCAACTGACAGCTCCAAATGGCAGCTGCACGTTCATGCAGAGTGCAGGATCCCTGATTTGTACCTGCTTCCTGCTTTGGTTCAGGGCATGTTTCCGGGCAGGACACTGAGGGACACCTCTCAGGCTCGCACTCTTCCTGCTTGACAGCAGTGTGACCAGTAGGGGGCGGAGCAGGCATCCCCTCGGGACTTGTGACGCCACTGGGCAAGCTGGATCCATTCAACAGGACGCTCTGATGAGAGACGTCTGCCGTTTCATCCGTCACTGACTCTCGGATGGGGGGGTCAGGGGACACGCAGTCTGCGGGTGGGGGGACAGCCATGGTCACTGAGTGCCTGTCATTCTCCCCCTGCTCAGTGAGCCTCATGTCCTGTTCCCCTGGAAGCACAGTGCTGTCTCTTCTAGGCTCAGCCTTTTCCTCCTTATCTTCCTCCTCCTCTTCCTCACAGACATCGGTCTCCATGGCCACCAGCTCTTTTTCCCCCTCCTTGAATGGGAAAGTCAAAGAATCACGTGACACATACAAAAGGGGCCAGTTTCCCAAGTTTTTTTTCCACCCATAATTCTTTTCTCCTTCAGCTCATCACATGTTCTTTTACACAGAAATGCTAAAGCTAAGAAAACCACAATAAGAAGTAAACCTACCAGTGGAACATAAAGAATGGTTTTAGTCCAGTCCTTGAATGGTGTTATTCCATTCAAGTGGAAAATGTAACTTTGCAGACCAAGTCTTTTCAGGCTAGGAAACACTAACTGATTTGTACAGGCTAAACTGGAAATGGGACTGTTCCAAAAATGCAGAGTTCTGGGTGCACCAACTGCAGTTTAAGGCACAGTAACCTATGAAATAAAATCGGAGACAAAGTGTTAATCAATGCATATTTGCTTAAAAATAGTAAATTACCTGACGGGACACAGGTAAATGTGTGAGACTGGTATGCAGTGTTAACAGCTCTACAGCCGCGGATATGCATGCATAGAGAGATCATTAATTATTTGCAGTGTGTTTTTTAGGGGAAAATTTTCAGGTTTTCCATACTAACAGCGCACACTATAATATCCGGCACAGGACATGGGAGAGATTACAGCGCCATATGCCAGATTAATAACAGCGCATCAGATGAGTTGTGCAATGGTTGCGGGAAGTAAATCGCACCCACACCAGCAACTAACCACCCCGCCGACGGACGTCTTCGTCGGTGCTTTAAATAACCAGCGTCCATCGACGCTAATTTCCGCGACGGCCCAAAAACCTCCGCGAAAAAAAAAAAAAACACGTAATGGGCAGACAGCGAATGCGTGCGGCGGCGAGTTTCACATTAGTAACTACTCAGCACGGCTCCAAATCCCGCAACTGCGCCGCTCCTTCCTTCGCAGCCCCGAAGCGGCCAGACGGCACTCTTTAAAGACACGCAATATGCTGGCCGTCCACCTGGTTCACTACAGGGCGGCACCGCTCGAGCCGCACCGGAGAGGCGTCCCGACTCCCAGCCGGTTCAGACCCTATGACGTCTTCGGGATGTTCGCTTCATTAAGATATTCGACAGCAGCCTATATTCACCCTTCAAACTATTTGTTTTTATGTAAAAAGGCACTGCATGTTCTAGGATAGCCGCAACATATATTAATTATGTAAACTTTACCCGTTTGCAATTTGATAGTTAGAGAAACCGTGGTGAATTGAGAATTCCCCGTCGCTCTCACTTTCGGGCAGACGCGCTAACTCGGCTGAGAAACAGGTACGCTGTTTGTTTTTTTGAACGGGGGGGTAAGAAAAATAGCCGTGCGGAGAGGGACACGGAACGGCAAACCGGTGCGGCGCTGCCCACGGACCGCGCGCGACACGACGGCGAGTCCCGGGCGGTGCGGCTGCTCGCCTCGCGGCCGGCAGCCTCGCGCTGCAGCGGAGCGCCCGAGCGGCTCCGCTCGCGCGCGCGCCGCACACGCTCTTTTTTTCCCCTCCTCCCTGCGGAGCGCATCTAGCGAGCGCGAGACGGAGCGGCATCAGCGCCGCAATAGCGCTCGTCGTGCAGGACGCGTATGCCAGGGTGCAGCGCTCCCTCCGTGGCCCCACCGTCGTTTTGTGTGCCTGCTTTTACTACTCGTCGCGCTTTTCACACTTGGGGGGGGAGGAAAGGGGGGAACAGTGAGGGGGAAAAAAGCCAAGAAAAGCGGAGCAACTGCGCACACCGCAAGTTACACTGCGGCCTGCGACTAACACATATGCACACTATATAAAAACATCATTTTATAGTAATTTCAATCAGATGCCAATGGGACACTTTAGCAATAGATACGCTTCTAAAGTTGCTATTTCGGTGCTAAAAGTTCTTAAATATTGGTGTCCCTAGCAAAGTACAAAATAACACCGCCCGAACTGCGAGACGTGCTGGACATATTAAGCAAGTTACCCGTTCTGTGATGTGCCGTTCGACCAGGGCGCTCTTTGGGTGTCGCGCAGACGCTTTCGCCCCCACTCGCCGGATCGGGAGTGTGATATTCCCGAACCTGGTTCTGCGAAGCCGACCCCTGGCTACCTCCCTCTCTAGAACCACCTTGACTTTGCTGCGGGTGAGCTTTTCCTGCGACATGCGTCCTTGAGAGCTTAGGAATCCCAGTATCTCCTTCAAGCCCAGTGGCGAGGGTCCCGTGGATGCGACGGAGCCCCGTTTTCTCTCCGCTAAGCTCCGAACAGACGCCACCAGTCTGTCGCCGAGATCCAGGCTATTTGAATCAGTTCTGTTTCTCTTAGTCCTGACCCTGAGCTTTGGTTTAATCGGCGGTTTCTGTTTGTGCCTGAGTTTACTGTGGGCATCAGCGCTCCCGCAGGTTTTGATCTTGTTTGAGCCGTAGTATCCGCGCTCAGACGAGGCACTTTCCATTCCCCGATCGTCCTTCTTTTTACCAGAAGAATCACTTCCATTGTTCTTGATAGTTTCATCATCTAGCGTGCTTGCGCTTAGTTTTGTCTGCGGCAGTTTGTCTTTTGGAGCGCTCTCTCGCTGGCCGCTGCCTCCGGCTGAACAGCAAGCTTTATTCCTGCACACCTCTGCGCCACAGCCTATACAATGGTTTTCGCTAGATGGAGTGAGGATGGCTTGGTCCCTTTCGGGGGTAAGGGGCGTTTTGCTCGCTTTGGGGTCGCATCGCTGACTGGCTTCTGCCGGCTCCGTGTCGCCGGTCCTCGGCTGCGCCGCGGCGATCTGCGCGCTGTCGCCGTTGTTCCAATCGGCGTGTTTGGTCTGTACCTTCACAGTGCCGCCGGTCGCCACTTCAGCCCTCTTTCGGCTTTTTCGCTGCACCTTGGCCGCGTTCCGGTAGGAAATAGAGCCCTTATAGCTAACTTTCAACACTGTCTGCTCTTGGATCAGTTTCTCCAGTTCCGAACGGGTTCGATCCGGCTCCGAACCGTGTCGCCTTCGAACCATTCGACATATCCTTTCGAGGTCCGGTCTTGCTTTTCTTGAACGCAGAGAGTCGATCGTCTCCAAAATCCAGTCGCGGTACCTCGGCTCGGACATGATCGGTACGGGTTCGGTCCGATTTGGGCGAGCGCCTCAAACCTGTCGACTCCGAAGTGAATCCGCTATACTCTCACCTACGGTCCGAGCCCGGCTGAGAATGAAGCGGAAGCCTCACTGTACGCCTGCGTTACCCACTTTTTGCGCTTAAGGTGGACTGCTGGAGATCGCGTGCTCCGTTATTCCCAATCCACGGGCGGGGATTATTTAAGGTGGCATTCCGGTGTTGTTATGCGCACCTTCGCGTTCAGGAGGAGTAATGGTCGCTAGCTCGGATAAGTGGGGTCCAAATCTTGGGGGAAAAGGGGGAACAATCTATTCTCGTGCCATTAACACAAACACAAGGCGTGACGACTGCTGCACAGATGCGATGAATATAAATGACAAATTCACAGGCAGTTAATTTTAACAAGTAAAACTTTATTGGAATGATACATGATGTAAAATATTACTTTTTTTTCTCTGACGTACTTCTGTCCTACGGGTCTCCGCCAAGTTGTACGGAAGAGGGAAAATATTTAAGACTGTCAAAGGCAGAGTTACAGTATACAATATAGTATCCAGAAAGGTATGACAGGCTCCACCATTGGGAGAACAGGTTCATGTTACTGAAAATACATTTAGAAAATATGAACGGTATAATAACTTATTTTAAAAAGTAAAATTTGTAAGAAGTGTTAGGAATCGGAGGCAAACCAGACCCACGAAGGAGGTGGTAGTGAAGGGGGTGTGGCTAGATGGACGTACAAGACAGAAATCATAAATAAAAATGAACTGGATTTCCGATGTCATTCATTAGCGTGTCTACAAGGAATGGGGGTTTCCTGGCACGGAATTCTCCCCCCACCACTTAAACCTGATCACTAAAAAGATCAGCAGCAAATTCTGCTATCTTGAGCATCACAGGCAAACGGAGAAGGGAGGGGGAAGCCCCGCGCGGTAAAACATCGCAAAATTTTACCGCAGAGACATTTTTACAAAAACAAAACAAAAAAGCTACGAAAAAATTATTCAAAAAAGTGTAGTGGAATTAATACGTGACAACCTGCTAGTGTTCATAGCGTTAGGCTGTAGGTAATATCGGACGACCCTTAATCTTGGCTGCAAAAAAAAAGAAAAGAAAAATGCCATCTCGGTGGGAACCGAGTACGAACGCAGAGCCGGAGACACTGCGCGCACGCGATAACGGTTTTGGCTACGCGAGAGCGAGCGTCGGTTACCCTGCCCCATCCCTAAACTTAACCACACGGTGCACGAGCCTCTGCAGCTTCACCCATACGACAGTCTCACCACAGAACCACGACTAACTTATATCCTTTGCAAAACCATACATTTAAAGCAATTAAAACGAAAGCGGGGGAGCATTTCACGAAACCTTCCATATTCAACCTTAAAATATTAAGCATGATTAGGTTATACTAAATCCACAAAAGGACTTAGTCTGCTTATCGGGCTCCAAATACTTTATAGTTCAGTGAACATGTTTTAACAACGTCGTCGAGCAGTTTAAGTGCAGAAGCCGTCTCCAGGTGGATGGAATGACGCACGCAGTCGAGGGGGGGAGGGGTCACGTGCTTTCAGCGCGCCACACCTATAAATTGTCGACTATACAGTGGCTTCTGCCAGCGGATCATTTCATTTTCTAAATCATACCTCCCTCTGCCGAGAGGCCACGCAGAACGTCTGACACAGTATGGTGTTATGCAGACAGACCGGCACGCACGGATCGGCTATAGGAAGAACATCTAGTCAAGTTAATTCTTGGTCAGGTAACCTCCGGTCAATTACAAAGTTTAATAGGGGATGTGAGGAAACCCGCAATATGTCGGGGATTTAAGCATTAAACATAAAATTGAGTCGATCGATTAATAAGGAGACGTATGTCCACCGAGTATAAGCTATCGCAGACGTCATCCTGAAAACCAGCGAGCAGCGAACGGAAGACGCAGGAGCCGGTTCTGGACCCACGGGCGTGTCATTCACGGCGCCCCGCATGCTCTCCTAAAAGTGGCCTGGCAGATCCTTGGCATTAAGACCGTGGGATCGTTAAGCCTTCTTTCGACCAATCACACGTGGTCACTCGGCAAGAAACAAGGGACGCCAGGGGGAGGAGGGGGGAGGGGAGGCAAAGACTTTCAGAAACAACAGAGATTAATCAACCCTTGTTTGGCAAAGCTCCACCCGAGGAAGAGTCTAAGGGAGACATCGACAATACCAGAAAATGAATCATGTCGTGATTTAAAATCTGCAGCCATGTTCCCAGCAATGACAGATAAAAAAAGGAACCAAGTTAAGTTAGACCTTAGTCCTATTCTTCAAACCCTTCTCCCTACTCACTGACCACTGTGAAGAAAGAATGTTATAAAAAAAAAAAAAAAAAAAGTGAGAAACGGAAAATACAACACTGCTGGATGTCTGTGGTCTTCAATCTCTTCCAATTATCAGCAGCTCTCCACACAGGAGTTTGGGCTGTTGGTGGATGGAGATTGGCAGCCTAGTGTATCAACTTACCCCACCCCACCCCAAAAAAAAAACCGTCTCCCATATATATATTTTATATATATATATTTATATATCCATCCCCTTTCTCCTTGGGTTACTGTTAGTTGGGTCTAGAACTCTGCAAACTCCTTTGCACACTTCTCCGTGAAGGACACTCGGATCTCCTCTTCTTCATAGTCATCGAAGTTGCTGGTGTCACCTGGGCCTTTGCATTTGGGTATAAACGGTGCCTCAACCTAAAAGAAATGATTTGTGTTAATTCAGAATCCCAATGCTGACGTCTTCTGTACCCAGTCTAACCAGTACCTGATTCAGGTCAACAAATTGACAGGCTGAGTGTGACCCAACTTTGTCCATTCTTTGATGATCCAGTTAGAATTAAAGCAATCTTCATTAAATGCATTAAGGCCTAGTCCCATGGGATATGTTGCTTAAACACAGTCCTTTTACCTGTTGAAATGTAACTATAGTTTTCCTGTATTTGACCAATAACATTAAGTGCAAGGCATATGGGTGTGTATGCGTTACCATTGCTTGGTTCATTTTAACCAACAGCCAACTGAATCCCTTGATTTGCATGATTTCTAGACCTTCAAGACATTTGCGCAGCATCAACACCTGCTAATCTACTCGATCGCTAACAGAACCAACACATGGAAGCAGTCTGGCCTGCTCACCTTCCTCTGATAGATGGCGATCCAGTCCGTTGTGGCGAACCACTTATGGCCCTTGATGTCGTTGACGCCGTTCTTGAGGTTCCCGAAGCGCTTGGTGAGGTCTACCTGGAGTAGGTTTCTCAAGAGGTCCTTCAGGTCGGAGCTGAAGTGCGAGGGGAAGCGAACCTGAGTAGGAGTACATTAGAGGGTGTGGTCAGTGAAGGAGGTCAGAAAAACCTTGGCGTTTGAGAAGAAGGGAAGAAACTGAAAGTGATAATGAAAGTCAAGTACGGCGAGAAGATAATTCTTTTGGCTATGAAGAATGACCAAAGCATTCACGGTATCGCTTGGGGAAAAAACACGAGAATGAAACTGAAGGACAGGACAGAGAAAGTGTAAAGCTGTACGGAAGTTTTAAACTGGTTTCCATGGAAATGGTCATCCTTTGGGAAGGCAAATCAAAGCTGATGGACGTTTTGGCTATGCTGGAAAAGCCATCCATCCATTTTTTTTTTTTTTTTAATAACCTCTTATGTAGCACAGCATCACCCCTAGGAGTCTAGAGCCTACTTCAGGCAGTACAGGGCACAAGGTTCTGGTACACCCTGGACTGGATGCCAGCCCACTGCAGGACATGTACACACAAGGTCGCACACTTTGGGCAGACTCCACACCCCGTGTGCTGGGCCCACACTCACACCACAACCCTGGAGGTACGAGGCCACAGTGCTGCTTAATGTAGAATCCCGATCTGGAATTTGTCCAAAAAATAATACATGGGAAGCCTCCGCGTCTGAAGGAATCCTACCTTCCCTGAGACGATCTTCTCGTAGATCTGGATGGGCTGGTCAGCGAAGAACGGAGGATATCCAGCAGCCATCTCGTAGATCAGCACTCCCAGGGCCCACCAGTCCACCGCTTTGTTATACCCCTGAGGAATTAGGAGTGGCGGCATTGAGACACTCAGTAGGATACCAAGACTCCATGGCATAGGTGCCAACAATTCACCCCAGCGTTGCTCTGCCAACTTGATTTCGGAAAAAAACGTGGAAACGAGGCACAGAAACTGACGAGCGTACCTTGCTGAGGATAATTTCAGGAGCCAGGTACTCTGGAGTGCCGCAGAGTGTCCAGGTCCTGCCTTTTACTCTCTTGGCAAATCCAAAATCTGTTACCTTGGAAACAGATGTGAGAGAACTTTGCCTCAGACGACAGTAGTTCCGAAATGCTGGTAAAGGGCTCAGCGTCGGCGGCTAAATGCAGACTCACCTGTATGTAGCCCTGCTGATCGATGAGCAGGTTCTCTGGCTTCAGGTCTCTGTAGATGAGGTCCAGTGAGTGCAAATACTCGAACGTGAGCACGATCTGGGCGGCGTAGAATCGGGCGTGTGGCTCGCTGTGTAAGGGGTAGGGAAAGAGAGAGAAAGAGAAAGGATGGCTTCGCCAAAAGATCCAGGGTGACGTTATAGGCTGCTGTGCGAAGTGGAGGGGGGTCGTCAGCTAGCTCACCTAAACCTGCCGATCCTTCTCAAGTGAGAGAACATCTCACCTCCTGGTACATACTCCATCACCATATACAGGTTACTGTTGTCCTGCAGATTGGAGAGACTCATTAGGCACAGACAAACCCTCTCTCATTACCCATCATCTTACATTACGATAAATTCCCAACAAAAACAAAGTTTACGTAAATTAAAAAAAAAAAAAACAAAAAAAAACGAAAACATTGATGTTGATTATTAACAACAAACAACAATAACACAGGTATCTCCCGCTTAACAAACGTTTGCTTTATACCACTTTTACAAAAGATCTACATTAGCATGTTTTTCGCTAACCAAAAGAAATACGAAGAGGATTTTCGCTTTACCGAAAAAAAGGACAAAAGCAAAAATAGGGTTTAGCATTTGTTTATCACGAACAAAATTATGCACATAGTCTTGCGTGGCATGATGCTTCGATCAACGATGGACCACATATACGACGCTGGTCCCACAAGATCATAGTGGAGCTGAAAATCTGTTAGGGCCTAGCGGTGCTGTAGCCTTCGTAACCTCATTTCGCAACATTACTCACATGTTTGTGGTGATGCTGGTGTAAACAAACCTACTGTGCTGCCAGTAGTATTAAAGTGTAGCACATACTTATGTACAGTACACATTACTCGATAATAATATAAAGTATAAATCAGTAACATTTTATCAGCTGTGCATGTATCACATCGTTCCTGTGTTTACTATATGTTAGTGTTATTTGGTATGATTTTGTGGGTTATTTTTTTGCGTCTGGCAATGCTCAAAAATTTTTCCTGTATAAATTGTTAACCGCTTCTTCAGTTTTCGACCTGTTTTGGCTTACAAAAAATTTCATAGTTAGCGGGGGATACCGGTAGTAATGATGATTATTATTTAGCACTCTTGTTTGCTTATAAAAATGCAATTTTTAACAGGAAATTGAAACATGGCGTCACTGATATGAACAATGAGTAGCCGTGTTTCCTCACACAGGGTTGGGGGGGGGCTTTGAATCCCACCTTTGCTCTGTATGTGGGGTTTGCATGTTCTGTGTCATAAGGACCCCCCCCCACCCAGTCCAAAGACACGCAGGTAGGCTAAGTGGGATCTCTAATTTGCCTGTAGTGTACGACTGGGTGTGAGTGTGTACCCCCTATGCCGCCTGGGATGGGGCAGCAGAGGAGCCTGGAGCAGCACTTGGAAGATGGATGGATGGATGGATGTGCATACCTTAAAGGAGTGCTCCACTCGTACAAGGAAAGGGAAACTGACGGCTTGCAGGATGCGCTTCTCGTTGAGAGTGTGCTCAATCTGCTTCAGCTTCACCACCTTGGGGGGGATGGACATGTTTACCAATAAACCCCTTCTCAAACCGGCTACAGAAGAGCTGAATCTGGGCCTCGATCTCCATTCGCCGCTAAGCTGTGACTCTGCATGTTTTCTCCATCTCCTGCGTTATCTAGTCCAATTAGGAGGTTATTTCAGTATTTTTACCAAAATGCAATAACGAGCATTTCCTGACTGCACGATGAAGTGCCTACAAAATTCATATGCAAATTTATTCTAATGTAGCGATATAGTTAGAGCTGAACAAAGCGATTCTGAATTATGGGTGGGGATGCACGGAAATGCATAGGCCACAGATGGTGGGCGGGGCTTCTCTCAGATCAGCCAAGCCCCTCCCACCATCGGTGAGCTTTGGACTCGCTCTCTTTATCAGCACACTGGTCCGCGGCCAAAGTCGAGCTCACCTTCTGTTTGTCTAGGATCTTCATGGCATAATGCTGACCCGACTCTTTGTGCTTCACCAGCATGACTCGTCCGAACGACCCCGTGCCTAGCGTCTTTAGCCGCTCGAACTGGTCCAGCGAAGCTGTGTTCTGAGGGGGGGGGGGGGTGGTGGCTGGGGGGCAATCCTTTTCATTAATCTAAATACGGCTCGGTCCTCTAACAAACAACCAATCTCATCTACTGTCCCTAAAGGGGNGGGGGGGGGGGGGGGGCGCAACAGAGAATAATATAACTCGGAATCCATGCCATTTTTAGATGCGCATGATGGTTCACAGTATCTGATCTCCCCCACCCAATCCTCACATCTTGGGATGGGCCTTCCACACTTGGCCACCAGGTGGCAGAAAGTCAAAAAATACACAAGGCAGACGTGGGAGAGCTGGCAGCTTTGTGCACGGGCACAAATCGGTGAAGCGCGGCTCCCCCTTGTGTTTGTACCCGAATATAAAGCTGCGAGAGCATGGCGGTGTGCTGTGCGACAGCCAGGGGGAAACGATAGTGCCATGATCAGCGTGCATGTGTATGTGCGTGTCAGAGCACCGTAAACAACAGACAGTAAACAAGCGCTGTATTTATGTGTGAGTGAAGGTAAGCTCTGGTATCAGGCCATGGCAAGTCCCCTTGTCCAGCCCAGTCCATTCCCATGACGTCCACACCCCATAACCCACCTGTGCTGGGTTCTCCCATTTCTTAAGAAAATCTTCTTTGGCTTTTGCGAGAAACTCCTTCACTATAAAAGAGACAACAAAATAATATTAATAATAATAATAAGCAAACAGCAGCTAGGTTCTGGTGAACAGGTGGCTCTGATTGACCAAATGACAGCTGAAATGTTCTCTCATAAACAGCTTCCTGAACCCAGAGGCCTCTAGAATCCCTCTTCCCCGACTGTCCGAAACTTAACAGGAACATGCTATGCCAGAGGATGCAGGCTGGCTAGCCTGGGGTATTCACCGATTCGTCATCAGCCAGTGATCACAAGACCACATGACCGGCTGTGTGCTTAACAGTGTGATTTCCAGGAATCAGCCAATCACGTGCGACCCTGGCCGCCAACCGCCGGCGCCACCTGCGCCAACATCAAAGGACCGCATGTTAGCCATGATAGGACTGTGGTGGGGAGCCGCTCGAGAGAAGCCCCCCCCGGATATCTCCGATAACAGGGGACGAGCAGCCGGGGGGCCTGTTCCCGCCATCACCCAGCATGCTACAGGGCTGCACCGCTCCTTATCTCTACTGGCTAATCGTTCACCAGAATAACAACCTGTTCCTCCCCGTTATCAGCCCTGGCCGCTCACCGAGGCCACGGGACGTGCTTCTCGAAGCCTCGTCCGCTGAAGCACGGGTGAGAACCCCCACCGCCCGCTAAGGCCAGCGAAGAGATGCTAGTCACTTTAGCCGTTAGCGGTTAGGCCAGAAGCACACAAATCAAATTTAGCAAAACGATCACAAGCTAGCAAGTATTACATAACTATCGACGTTGGGTACAACCATCGCTAACACCACTCAATACAGAGCTAGTGTACTAAAGCAGTACAGGACTCCTGGGACAGCACAATCTTCACATGGATTTATTCCAGTTTTTGTCACCGAGACGACCACAACCGGCACGCTGCCCACAGCCGCTTCCACCTTTGACGTTCCCTCTCGCGGCTCGTCTCGAAAATCCCCCGCCCCATGTTAGTGAGAGCAGAAGCCTCATTAGAGTCGGGCTTCTTTGGGCACGCACACGTGGACACACACACACACACACACACACACACACACACACAGACACAGAAAGCGAGCCACACGGAGAGCGCAGCGTGGGACAAAGTCCAGACAGACTTGGCTTTGTTTATTTGGCCCCAGAAGCACGTCCCCTGCAGGGACTCCTCCAAGAAATGGACCCACTACGCTTCCCATGGTAAAACCCCCATCCTTCTATGGAGATGTTGACAGCCCCTTGGGACAGGGACCTCCAGGAAGGTCTGCGGCAGAGCTGTTCAGCTTCGGTGGTCAGAAGGTGGCTAGAACACGTCCTACATAACTGTCACATGACCTAAAAGGTGCTTTAAACGTGCGTCTGCTTGGATTCCTGAAGCCAAGCAGAGCTGCTACGCCGCTTCAGATCTTGCTTGCTTTTTGCCCCTCGCCATCCGTGACCCTGCCTGCTCTTCATCTCCGCCCTCTTCCCATCCTGTCTTGCCATTCTTCCTGTCACATGACACGCTTCTGTCTGTTTCCTCACAACCGTCCATTACCTGCCTCGTGTCGCAAGCCTTGGACTTGCAGTAGACTGGTGCCCAGCTGTGCCTCCCCAGTAGAGGGATACCTCCCCCTCCCAGGAACGGCTGTGACATGTGCAGATCTGCCCCAAAGGCTCTTATCCCACTCGGAATCTGCCCCAAGTATCTCACAGCTATTGGTCAGGATCTGCTCGTCAACAGCTCCGAGTGACACACTGTGAGAGCGGGAGGTGTTGGGGGGGGGGGAGAAGCAACGGTTATTTCATAATGGCTCTCGGGCCCGACCTCATTTTGCCCTCCCCAGCATCCACAAACAAATGAGAGACCGGGATCAATAGCGCCCCCATCGATTTGGCTACCTCCGCAGGTCCGCAGAGAGTTTATGGGCAATCCCAGATCCGCCGGTCCATACACAGAACCTTCTCGATAAACACGGTCCATCCACACTTCCTTTCTCAACCGATTTCCTACAGACACAAACGAAAACACAATCAAATCCTGCCCTGAAGCACTATTGGATTGTATTTAGTATTTTTTTTTTCTTTTTAAGAAAAAAGGGAGACAGCCCTATGTTTCCAAAAACAAACAAAGCTGTCGAGGTCCCTTTAAGAACAGCCAGGAAGTGGATGTACACAGACCTGCCCTTGTTATGCAAGTGAGCAGAAGCCGTGGGGATATTTTTAGATACTGTGAATGCTCCACCTTGATTGTATGTCAGAAGACTGGCTGTAAAAAAATACACACGGGGACCCCAGGCGTGGAGACGGATTACCGACAAACACACGCACAGCCCCGACAAGGCAAGTCCAATCGGCACCATGGAGACCGACCCCTGGACCGGTCGCCTTGGAGAGAAACTCCCTAACCCGTTGCCCGGTCCATCCACACGCCCGCCCACTCTTTCAGACAGACGAACGCGTTACCTTGGAGATGGACACTGAGCCCCGTCCGGGTTGCCGTGGATACCCAGCTCCAAACAACCACCACAAGCCGTTAAATTAAAACAAAAAAAAAATTTAAAAACACAAGGCTCGCCCACCCAGCTTCTGATCCAGACATCAAAGGGCACCACCAGCTACTGGCCCCCTGTGTGCTTTCGTGATGACCTCTTCTTCGGCAACGTTCGCTTGCAAAAGTGCTTCATCTATAACAGCAGGCCTTCTCGAGAGCCGCACTTCTTTGTTTTGTCCACAATCGGACCTTCCTGCAGTAGCTTACGGGAGATTTACGCCCGGGAAAAACATCTACCCAGAGTTAGGAGACCAACGAAGAAGGGTATCCAGTGGGGGGGGATAAATACCTCCCTTCCTAAAAATGCTCTTGTATTTCCCCCCCAGCCTGACTCACGCACTCTGGCCGTAGGCCGCGGGCTCATCCTGGGTCCGGTAGTGAGCTTGCTCCCCGCTCCAGGTGTCCCTGAGGCAGGGTCCGCCACGATGGAAGAGCTTCCCTGTCAGCCTATGCAGGGCTGACATGGTCAGCAGCACAGTGGCTCAAGCGCTCTGGGTGGGTGGAAGACGCATCGGGGACACAGAGACGGTGCCAATGTCCCCCAGGGAGGGATGGATTCCTGGCCTAACTGCGGGATCTCAGCCAGCAATGTTGCCTGGGTCTCCCCCGTGTAGAAGCAGGAATCCCAGTGCTTGTTCTGGAGCACGACTCGTCCGTAGCGCTGGGGCCCCCTAAGCACACGCCACTCCCCGATTTCCCGTCCCAACCCAATCCCATCAAACCCACCCCCCCCCCGGTTCCTTCCTGTGGGCCCCCTCATCAGCCAAATATGTCAGGACTCAGACAAGCCTGTCCAACAAGGGTAGGAGCCATTTCCATATCCAGTTCCGGAGCAGAAGGCCATGGGTCTGTCCTGGGCAGACCTGCAGCTGTTACCGGAAAAGCAACTCGCCACAGCTCCCCAGCTTATACCACCTCACAGATAAGCATGATGCTAACAATCCCCGTAGCAAGGGCACGTGGCGACAATCACCCCGGCGATTCTGGTCAGGCCTCATTCCGAACAACTCCCATCAAAGGCGAGCTCCCTGTGGAGGTGGCCTCGCACATTTCAGTCACGGAGAGTCCGTCATGCGGCAGCTTTTGCTCTCATCACACACGACTCGGCGCGTCGCGTCGACTCGTTTGGGAGGCGACTCTGCCGAGGGCACTGCCCTGTCCCGCAGCTCACGCCCAATATTTACTGAAGTCATTCGACCAGTTTAATTGCCGCGCCTCCCTGTGAGAAGTTTAACCTTCAAGCCTCGGGTCACGTGTTAAATAACTTAACCAGTGCACCGAGTAAACAAATTACAAAGCAGACGACTGTCACAGTCACTAGTCAGAAATGCTTTCTAAGGTAAAACAAGTAAGTCTTGGGCAGGGATCTGTTATTCTGTGCCTGTGTGCACGTTACCCGTGAAGTGCAATGGGGGTGTCTTGCTGGTGGTGGGGGGGGGTTTGGGGGGCAGGGACTGCCACACAAAAGAGGCCACTTTTTCTGAGTTTGCTCTGTCACATGTTGTTTGAGAGATCGTTCTCCATATCAGGACCCGACCCCCCAGGAGGAGAGGAGAGCGCGTGATCCGTCAGAGCCAGTGCCTCACTAGCAGTTAACCTCACAACCAGCTCAACCAACAGCCTGGTGTGTGTGTGTGTGTGGGGGGGGGGGCTCACACAATATACAGAAAGCTGAGGAGTCAGTCTCCTCTACAACTCCTCTCAAAGCCAGACCAGGGGATCCCGGGGATGGCAGCCAAGATGTTTTAAAAGCCTTTCTGCTTTTGGAAAAAACACTCTTTATCTCACAGTTTCCAAGAGCAAGAAAAGAAATCGAGCTAAAGGGGTCATGAGCGATTCCCATCCTGGGTAAAGAGCAGCGTACACACGCATATACAAACACACGACTGCCAACGACGAGGCGACCACAGACGAGCCACAGAAATGAATGAACATTTAAACCACACTTGGAAAAACCTCTAGTGCCAAAAGCTGAAAGCCCAGCAATTTCGCGACGACTCACCGCTGACCTTTCGCTGCACATTCACAGCCGATATCAGTTTGCGAAGACCTACTGACCATTTCTGGATACCGGCCAGAGGCAAATGTGCCCAAAAGCTACACAAACGTCACACACAGACTCACACACAGACACACACACACACAACCCCACTCCCCCCAATTCCCACAATAAAGAGACTATCTACATCATCCCTGACAGGCGAGGAACCAGATGAGAGCCCAGCCCATACCCAGAAGCTAGAGGCCCACTCATCTGGCCCTAGAGCACGACATCGCTCCACTCAGTTAGGGCTGAAAATGCCACCCTCCTCATATGCCACAGCCAGTATCCAACCCCCCGTGAGGCTCTGCATCAACTCATACATTTAACTCTCAGTTCCACAATAACTTCGTTTCTCCGACAAAAAGGGCCAAACCGTGAAATGCATCGATGTTATGGCTTGGTTTATTGTTATTGTAGTATCACAAGCGTTCTTTCAAAGGGGAAATGCCGAGTGCGCGCGGGGGGTGGGGGGTGGTGGCTGGGGGGCAATCCTTTTCATTAATCTAAATACGGCTCGGTCCTCTAACAAACAACCAATCTCATCTACTGTCCCTAAAGGGGAGGGGGCGGGGAATGCAACACAGCAACGGGGGCTTCTGATCACGCAACAAGTAGCAGGACCCAACTACACACATCCCTGCCCCCCCACCCCCGCATGTTAAAAGTGCGGATGGCATGTCGTGCGTACACTGTCAGCCTGTCCGAGACATTCACACCCCCGATGGGATGACAAGCTCAAACCCCCAGCCGGGTCGAGGTACAGAGCAAGACTATTCTACACGACAATAAGGCTCAATATCAGTATTTATTCTTCTCCAAGTACATATGAGAAATCAAGGGAAAATAAGTTGCTCCCCTAACCAGCAGATCAATGGCTTGGCTGCGCTGGGCCCGATCACTGCAGTGCCATTACCATCACGGTGCATTTCGCCTCGGCTCTGCATGGCTACCGCGCGTCTTCTCACTACCATTCGGAAGGAGGCCAGTTTTCCAGCTAGCTAGGCGCTTTCTGGTAACGCTACGGCCCCACCGAGTAGGCGTAAGCTGGTCGTGGCTCGAAGCCGGAGCACGGCCGACGTGCAGCTAACAATCAGGCTACGTGAAAGCCTTGCAGCCCCTCTACACATCGCCATTACCGTAGTGAAAATGCTCACCGCTTTCCATCTCGCTGCCCTTCTTGGCGGTGGGCGCGTTGCCCATGATTGCAGGCCGAGCAGGGAATCCCTTGACTCGGCGATCCCGGCTGTTCTCTTCACGATCCTTTCCAGGACGGGTCTGGGCTGCCTGGACCTGATGGTACAGTCGACTAGCTAGTTATGTAGCTAGCTAGCTAGTATGCGAGCTAAAATGCATATATTCGCCTTAATAACTCCCGTGCACTTCTTTCGTTGCTCCCTTAGGAGGAGGAGGGGAAAAAGCAGTTGCGATCTCGCGAGCGCGTATATCTGCTACCAGTGGGACGTTGGTGGGGGAAGCTCGCCTATTCCTACGCTTATGTTAAGCTTCCGACACCCCCGGACCCAGTCCAGCACGCCGAACCCGGTTCGGATCTTCTTTCCTCACCTGTACCTTCTCGTAGCCACCACCGCGGTTCCCCCTCGGATCTACGTTTTATTTATTTTTTTTAATCCTCCCCGAGATCAATAACCCGAATTAATTCGAGTGCCCACTATTCAAAATACTATTCCCTTCCTTTCCCGACCCCGGTTCCGAAGCCTTGTCTAAATCCACTACCGATAACAAAATACCCAGACCGACATTCCCCCCCATTAATCCTCGGACTTGGGTTGATAGGTTGACTCCAGCCTTACAAGATGTACCGCCTTTGCCCAGAGCCTATAGGTCACTTCAATATGATAGACAGTTCACATCGGTTATTGATAGGATACAAAACGTTGTGTCAAATCTTTGAGCCATTTTGATTAGTCAATATTCAACTGTCAAAATAATTTCCCCCGCCCCCATACACCAACGAATAACGTCACCTATTATTTTCCTCCCAATTCGGCCACGCCCACATTTCTATTAAATAATTTTGGTTGGCTAATCCGCCAAAATGTGTTGGTAGTCTGACATAGAAACCGCTCCATCTGTAGAATTTAGATTGGTTATCAAAAAGCAAGGCGTCTAATACCAATGGCCTCGCCGACCCCCTCCCGCCCGGATAATCTGTGATTGGCCGAGTGACGTCAGCAGCAGTCTATTTATAGAAGGCTGGTCAGACTTTTAAGGCACGAGTAGAGTCTACGGCTGCAGAATGTTAAATCGCTGTTTTTGCTGTTGGCAGCCCGTATTGTACTATGTACGACACTGAAACCAAATACAAATACACACAAAGAATTACTGCATTAAACATTTTAAAGCATATATATATATATATATATATATATATATATATATTTAGAGAGAGAGAGAGAGCGCGAAAGACACACACACACACAGCTTTAATATTTACCTCAGAAGAACCAGTTGGCTATGCAGTAACATTAATTCATGGCAAGAATATCTAATTCATTTTCAAAGTACAACAAACTGAGGTCATCATTGAATGTTACGACGTATACACGTTCTTATTCTCCTGGTTTCTACGAAGGTACTTTTGCCAAAGTTTTGCGCAAGGGCTGTTTGTGGCTGCATTTATTCTACTCACCAGATGTTTCATGCACGTCAAGGCTTGATTCAGTTCAAAAAACTTTTGCCATCTGACGATACAGGCAAGGAGTTGGAACACTAACCACCATGTTGGGGGGGCAATATATTAACATATTAAACAATCCATCCAAACTCCTACCTTTTATCCAGGTCAGGATCATAGGGGGCTGGAGTATATCCCACACAGCATAAGGCACAAGGCTGGCTGACACATTGGACAGTATATCAGCACAATACAGGACCCATGATCCTCCACAACTAAGTAAAACTCATGGCCCTCGCACACATTCAGCCATACACTATTCGCAAAAACAGAATCCCATTTAACCAAACCACTAGTGTTTAAGTCTTTAGACTGAGAAGAAACCTGCTCAATATGCAAAGAACATGCAAACACCACACACAGAGAACGGAAGCACGATTCAATCCCAGAGGTGTGAGGCGACAGTGCTGTCCGATGAGCCACTGTCATGTTAAATCATTTTAATATTTTACAAACACGTTATGGTAATAACATAATACCAGTTAATTAGCAACATGACATATCCAAATCCTGATCGCATCACAGTTAATCTTTCATGTACATTTTCCCAGCCTGGCTGCTGAGGTAAGACACATAGGAGAGGGAATGGAAGATTTAGTGGTTCATCTGGCCAAATTTGGAGAGAAAATGAAAGTCAACATCGTAACCATGTGAATGAGAGAGGCAGCGTTGCCCTAATGACGGAAGACGTAGTGTTAGATCCGGTCCTGCTCTTCTCATGGAAGCAGATCCAGTTGCCTAGCAACACCAGATGAGTCGGACCTATTACACTGAAATCGCTGGCAGTTAAGTGAATCGAGCGGCCGTGATGGTGCCTTGCCACTCATTTTTATGAATGAGAAAGGAAGCAAAAAAACTCCTCCCTCCCTTTAACCAAGAATTTACATGCAGGGAGGAAAACAAAACCAATGGCATTTATTCATCATGTGAAATTTATAAAGGATCTTCAAACAAATTACAAAAGAAACAAGATTTTAAAGACAGATGTAATACAAGAAAGGTATGTACATGAACAGCAAAACAAATCCTGACCTTTCAACAGTTGTAAATAAAAATTTGCCATGTACGATGACTTCTGAGCAGGAAAAATGGACAGAAACCCTCACAGCCAAACCATGCGACCATACAGTCAAAACATTTCTACCCAGAACCACAAGGTGCTGACTTCCCCAATAGATACCCCTCCAACACACGTATTCAACCGTCTGCTCCACAACACCACCGTGCATTTCCACACAACATCCACACAGAGTAGCTGTCACACCGTTCATCACCCACCTGATAAATACGAAGGTGTAACTGAAGACTGCAAGCCTTTTACCAACTTTTGGAGCAGAATAACAAACTTCTGTTTCAGTCACAAAAAGCTCACTGGATTTTCTCTTCCTAATCTCCTGATGGTTTTATTAAAAAAAAAAAAAAAGCCTTCTTTAACAAGATGAAATTTACACAAACACGAAAAATAATGCAATTAGTGTACATAGGAATACAATGGGATTAAGCTCCCATTTAGTCCAGTCCAGAGAGATGTTCTCCTCAGAAGATGCAGCCCCCAAAGTTAGAGAAGGCCTGTTCACATCGCCTTGTTGACAGAGCCTGACTGACATCTTCATGTGAAGCTTCAGTCAACGTATGGCAAGTGCTGCGAATATGTGGATGTTGTAGTACGTATCTTTTTTTCCTTTGAGTTAACCAAATACCCCAATATACTAACATAAGTGCCAGGGGTGGCCAGGTAGTATGTGTGTATGACTGATTGTGTGTGTGAGTGTTTCTAACCAGGCTCATGGGGCTTTTTTTACAAGCAGTCCATGGAGTTGTCAGGCAACAAACTAAGGGGCGGAGCCTTTCCAGGGGGACAGGAGGGGGGAAGCATGGCATTGGGGGCGGGGTCCACATTCTCACAGTCCTCCATCCGCTCGGCACAGCCCTCCCAGTTGATGTGGAAGCGGGTGACACGTGGGTTAGAGGCCAGAATGTTCCTCTGAAGCTGTGCAGGGAAACACACACGGACCCCAAAGATCAGTGTGGATTCAAAGCTGAATAAAACAATCTGCCTTGCATTTTATACTGAAATATGATGCCATTTTAAAACAAAACTATTATTATTACAGTGTGGCTGAAAATTCTTTGGTGAAAAAAGATGCTACAGTTTTACTCATGTTCACTGAAGAAATTCTGATTAAAACTGGCAAACAGTACATTGCAACCAAGCCCCCAAAAGTTTTATTTCAAAATAAGTCATTTTTTAAAAAAATTAAAAGACTTCATTTTGTAGAGCTAATAATAGCTTAAAATAACTTCATAAAACCCAAGATGAAGGTCCATATTCACCCACTCACATGCAGTTTGGGAATAACAACATTTATAGTATTGTGCCATTTGAGGACGGGGGAAAACACACACAAATCTATTACCATTATCAGAAACATTCCTAACAAAAACAAAATATTTCTGCCCATTTTTCTTATGCGTGATTAAATGCATTTACCTGTGCATAGTCAGGTTTAAGAGGTGGGTTTTCACGCAGCTCTGGGTCGGTATACTCATTGTTGACGTAGTAGCCGATGCGGATGAACTCTTGCCCACGGTAGGTGCATGTGATCAGCACAACGGTCACTCCCACTGCATCGCTCTCGGGAATCAAGCCCGTGTTGGGGGCATCCGCCTGCCAGGGTCAATTCAAGATGAGGTGAAGAGAGCGCAAGGAGACAGATACAGCAGCAGAAAATCTAGCTCTGCTGCACAAAACAAACCAATTAGGTAATTAGCAGTAATTAGAGTTAAGCTGAGGCAAGCATGCCCTTGAACGCATTTTAGTACCCAAACAAACGAGGAAAAAAAAAAAAAACTCACCTGAAACACAAACATGTGCCTCCCAGCAGGAACTGGGCCCACCAGAACCGAGTCCAAAGTCTGATCGTACTCTTCACTTTCTGCTGAGCCCACATATATTATCTTCCATTCCAAGTCTGAGAGACAAACAGACGAAAGCCTTAAGTATTGCAGGTTGGAGTGTTTGTAATTACATTTTGTCAAATACAGAAATCAAGAAATTTCCATTGATACCACAGAAAATATGCAACAATAATCTATGCATAAGTTTAAATGCTGGGTATTTCTTGCTAGCATAGTACCCTAGTAAAACGCCTTTAACTTAATTTAAACAGAGGAAAAATATCCCGATGGCATATATAAATTCTTTAAATTTAAAATGAAGTTAATTTCTTGCACTGCAGGTTCCCAGTCTCGGCTGGGAGCTTCTGCCGCCATAACGGTCCCCGGCATGCCGAATGAGCGCGTCACAACGCGGAAGAGCACCGCCCATTTGTCACAATCTGACCAATTGTCACAGAGGGGCGTGGACACGAGCCATTTTCGCTCGCTTGCTTCAAGTCCCCGCCGGCGCCAAATTTCAAAGACCGCCCCCCCCCCCACTTTCGTCCTGAAGTCTTCGTTAAGTATTACATTTCATAAATACAAAAAGGCTTGAGATTCTATACCACATATCAGTAAATGTTTTATCACAGACACTGACATAATGCACTCATGTAGAATTTATTTATGATGAGTCTTTTGACTGATGTCTGGCTACTCTTTAATTGGTAGCTAGTGAATTCCTGATTCCTGGCTATAATTAGTTAAGTTATTTAAAAATTTCAAATAAACATGCGCGTTTTCTCTTACAAGCTATACCAAGCCAGAAAGGCATGGCACAAAAGTATTTGCCCGGTGCCAACTTCACATACCGCGGCGGACACACAAATTCTGTTCACTTAACTAGGCGTCGCATTTCCGCCATTTCTAAATATAAAACAAAAATATAAACAAAGAGACGAAACATTAACGCAGTACAAACACGTCCAGCTTATGACAAAACAACCAGACCTCCCGGCAACTGTCGTAGCTATCCGCCCGCCATTTCACGTACCCTCATGTAATATGAGGAACATTTACCAGCTAGCAACTACGCCGGAAAAAAAACACAGCTCGACCGATAAGTCCTGACACTTAGTCTCGGCGTCCGCGCAGTCGAGGCGATCCCTTACCTTCCGGCAGATCCTCCATGCACTCGAAAGTGATCTCGAACTGGAAGGGGTTTCCGAAAGGGCTCGGGTTATCCAAAACGGCTACATTTAGCACTTGCACCTTCGCCATTACCGCTGCGACAGATCTGCAAGCTCCAACTGGCTACAAAATGCGTGTCTCTTGGGAGAGACCAGCGAACTACAAAGACCCAGTCCCACGCCACGCCGCCTCCGTTCACAAGCACCTGGATTCGGCACCGCGGAGTTAGTTGAACGTAACCGTTGCAGTGCAGGGAACCGGCTCCTCCGGATCGATTGATAGGTTGTAGGAGAGATCTTTACTTTCAACCCAGGTCTTTAAAGGGAGTCTCGGCTGTAATCGTCCATTCTGTTTCCACGAGCTGCTTTGTTTTTTTTATTCTACTGACAGTTTAATTCAGAAAAAAAGTTCTTAATTAAGTTAAACGTGCTTTTAAAACGCAGACTACGTATATAAACGAGGTATTCACTTGTTTTTTGTTAATCCTCCATAAGAGGCCAAACGGCTCGCTCCCTCTCCCGCCAGAGTGTTCAGAAAGACCTTCACCGGACGTTAGAGAGAGCTGAACGATATCGACGCTGATTTGTTGAGCGGAGTCAGCAGGCCCGGATTCCGCCGCATTCTATTGGTCGACGCAGTACAGTATATACAAGGAGCGTGACAGGAGGAACATAAACTCGGATATACATTTGTGAGGTTGTGTTAGGGTGAGCGCAGTCCACTAAAGGGTAATGGTTATAAGCGCTGATCTGGGATCGGTAAAGGCCTTACGGCACACAGACTCATTACAGGTATTTCCTTAACATATTCAACCTATTTAGAGCTGTTTTTTTGTAAAGCCCCCTTAAATACAAAATATGTAACGGATAAAACGCCAGAAGCGTAAAAATTCAAGATGCATAAGGAATGTGTAATTCGATTATTTGTTTCCACAAATTGTTCAAGGGTGGAAATGAAATAACGTGTTAAACACCAGGGGGAGACAGCTACCTTCCAGTAACACAGGTTATTCAGTCCTTAGAAATGAGCAAACATGTAGTCATCGACGGCATTACTGTTTTAATTTGATTACTGGCTGTCGTAATGCGGAAAATTTGTTTGTTATGCGTTTTTTCTCCGTTGTATAACAGCAGTCCATCCCTATGGATTTTGAGTTAACTGGTTCTCAACTCTGTACCATAATTCCTTGCACTTTATCTTCGTTCTCCAAGCACGGAGAAAGATTTTTAGAGCACGTGGCCATTTATTATTTAGAAATTCATTCATTCAGAGATTCATTCATGTGAGAACTATAGATTGTCCATTGAGTCACATTACATCTAATGCTTAATTGAATATTTGCGCAAACATTTTACACGTGCACCCCCCTTTCCTTATACTGGAATGCTCAATGACATCATCACACTTATAGACCCTGTTTAGAAGGGAATGGACCAGTGAAAGGATCTAAACACCTGTGAACAGGGAGTAGGTGATGCTGTTGCCTCATTTCTCCATCATCAGGGGTTGGGCTCCCAAATAGGCGTCCTTTATGGCTGATCACTCGGGGTTACGGCCCTGTGTATTTTAGCCTCGATGCCAATCTTCCTTAAAACAAAAATTTAAGCCCTAGGTAGACTTGATTCAGCACTGGATCATCTCAATAGCTAGAGACTCCCTTGGACTCCCTCCTCTGCTCTTTGTGTGTGAAGTTTGCATGTTTTCTTGTTTCTTCCAGGTACTGTAGTTTATTCTTAATTCCCGCAGTCCAAAGATATGCAATTAGGCCAATTGGTATTTCTAAATTCTCCAAAGTGTGTGTGTGTGTGTGTGTGTGTGTGTGCGGATGTGCCCTGTGATATACTGGCATGCCGCTAAAAGTGCAGTCGTACTGGAATATTCTCCGGGGCCCCCTCTCCCTGCAATTCTGTCCGCTGTAAGCAGCTGGAAGACGAATGGATGGATGAACAGGGAGTGGCAGCCTGCGGGATGAATGCCGGGAAGACAATTCAGGTCTGCATGCACGACATCCCCACTGCTGTCGCCAGCCAATGGCAGCGCTGAACTCGGAAACAAAGGGATCATAGATGCTGACACGACTTGGGCAGCCACTCAGGTAAGGGACAGGGACAGCAGCACTGCTAAGCAAGAATCCTCAGTGCATAAATACAAGGAACTGTTCAAAAATACCAAAATAAAAGGGGAATCAAGCAGAAAACTGAAAGTAATTAAAAGACTATGCATAAAATACATAAAGTACTGCTATTTATGTGAGTGAATTCTTTTCAGAATTCTGTACCTAGACATTCTGCCACTCCTGCCCAATTTCATGTACGATTTTACATTTTCAAGGGTCCTTGTCAAGTGTCTGGTGGTCCCCAAGGACTGGGCTGAGGAAATACTGATATATATGGAGGGAGAGACAGAGAAATGACATGGCATACGAGTGCAGAAATGTCAATGAATCTGTGATTTTGAGAGAATCGAGAAAGGGCTGAAATTCCCAGTGTTCTTCGGAATCCCCTCCCTCATACACCAGCTGACTCGCACACAATGGTTCCGCATGAGAATGGGCATTCCTTTATTTTCTGACATGATGAACACAGATGAATACTCCCCCCCATGCCTGAGAAAGCAGCCAAGGCAAGCAGGGGTGGGGGGGGATGGGGTGTTGTCATTTCAGTTCAGCTTTGCTTTCTTGCTGAGGGTAAACATTTATACTCCTTCAGACAGAACAGGTGATTTGTTTGTATTTTGAAAGTTGTGCATTTGTTCTTTAAGAAACAAGCACTCAGATCTGTAGTGAGGTGCTGCATGCATGTTAAGTGTTGTTTTCCTCAGTGTGGGTTGGTGTGTGGAAATGTAGCCCTGTTATTTATGACAGAGCAGATTTCCACACCCAGGAATGATTCAAGAAAGCTTAACTCCAGGCCTGGAGTCAGACGTGACGCTCCTTTAATTCATACCTGGGGTGTGTGGGAGGTGTCCCAATCGCACAAAAACGCTTGTCACTTTTTAAAATGACATTTCTAAAGATTATTTTCCACACTGACCAATGGAAAAAATACATTAATTTAAAACTGTGTATTATGTTTTCGCGCAAAGGCATTAAAAAGTTGAAACAGTGTTTGATGTCAAGAGAGTAATGGATTTGAGTCCAACTGCACGTCATATTACGCCAGAGGAGACGATTTATTTAAACGAACGAAATGGCCTTGGGTACTTTTATCCAGTTGCACGTGTAATTTTGACCCCAGTCTCGAAAGAGCCGGATAAACTGGGCTAATAGCTGGTATCCCACTGGATGTCGCAACTTCCCAAGCACCCAGCGCGCCTCCTGTTTATATCTTACTTAAGTTAGGCTAATTTTAACGCTTTGAGGCGGCAAATAGATTTAGGAAGCGACAAAGTCAGGAAGGTGGTAGAATTGTTCATTTATATTTATGGGTCTGGTGAGGTGGGGGCCATGAAACTGTGACGGTGACCTGTGTCACACACTATGCACTATGCCGTACCGTTTCTGCGAACGAGGGAGCGGAGGTTTGTGTCGCAACAAAGGCGTATCTGTGTCCTAGGTGGCACAGGTCGCAATGCACTCAGGTACGTAATGCGAGAAGGCGGACCACATGACCGGAGGGGGGCGGGGCAAAGAAAGGTGGAGGTAAAGGGGGGGAAAGCGTTTTCATAGTGACAGGTACGGGAAGGGGCTACGAGCAGCGGGTTAAACGTATTTACCAGCCTCACTTGAACCGCGATCGCGGACCACAACTGGGACTTAACTTAGTTAATCATAAGCCGAGTGTGCGAGGCCACTCTCATAGGTGAGGCGGAAGCGACCTGCTGGCTTTTCGGAAGGAATCTATCGAGTTTTCGCTTTGGATCCCCGGGGACAAGTTTCCCATTTTCTCCGGGCCGGTAAGTTTGCTGTCAGTCGCGTTCAGTTAAATTTAAGTCATCTTTACCAGTGCCCGGAGGCTGGAGAGACCTTTCTCGAATACAGTGGGTATTACAAAAATGTTACCAGTTCCAACTGGTGCTGGTGCACTGATACTGGGGAAAGCTGGTGAGGAGATAGTGTGAAAGTAATGCGGGGAATGTGGTAGGGTTTGCAAGACGTCGTTGTTGCTGGTGGATGATTTGATCTCACTATCTTAGGGTACGTCTGAGCTTTGGTATGCCCCTCTGGCCTTACCTGCGGCAGGTGCGACCGGAACTCTTACATACCATGCGCATTCCGGAGCGCAACTATCGCGACAACCAAATATTTTAAATAATTTAACAGTAAATTGCAACACTCCGTTAGACTTCTGGGTAGACGATTTTAGTAGGTCGAACCAAGTATTTGGAGGGCACCCAATCCATCACAACTACCAGGAGAATTACCGGCTGAAAGCTGTATCCCTGGGCCATGAGGAAAAGTACTCAAGGGGATCCCTGCACCCCGGAGCTAAACACATTTACTGGCGGATTTATTCTTTGTTCCCAGTCCATTACTGGACCCTGCTGTTATTAACTGAATAGATGTAAAATATATATTTGCTGGAACTAGAAGATTGGAAACAAGGATGCGTTTCCTTCAGTTTCAGAAGTTACAAAAAGTTATATATTTTTTTTTTATTAAAAAATTTATTCTACTTGTTTTGTAGTTAATGCATTTCAGATCTTGCCATCTATGTCGAATTCTGACTTATTTTCAGGAAATGTGTAGTTTGCAAGACCGTAGCTATGGAGATAACATGGGGGGGCAAGGCTGTAATCATAGTATATATTGGGGGGGAGACATTATGAGCACATCTGAATATGTAACCCTCAATATATATTATAATTACGCTCTTGGCTGTTTGATTAGAGGAATATATTTATTCATTTAGTTTTTGGGTGTTTTAGCAAATGCTAACCATCCTAGCATCTCACGCTCAGAAAGTCTGTATTCCGTGCATGTGCTGAATAACTCAGCCAGCTGCTCCCAGCAGACCATCCATGACATAAAGGCATCTGACCTGAGATGACCCGAGTCCCACCTGGTTACCTATGAGGCCGCAATCCGAGAAGAATATGGTGACTGCATTGCTGGTGCTGGGCCAGCTGCTGGTTCTGTGGAGTACAGTGATCCGGGGTAAGCTGGGCCGACCGCCCACCTTGCACACATTGCGTGCATGCCGTCTGCTCTCATCCCAGGAATGTCTTCAAAAAGGAAAAAAAAAAAGCCTCTTCTCAAGCTGTATGTCTTATAAACTAAAACCACTATAACTCATGCAGTTACATTCTAGACAGTCGGAAAGAATTTGTACAGTAATGCTAATCCAGAGATGTCATGAGTTGCTTTTGTGCAAAGTATGTGCTTCCTAAAAACTGCTTGCTTTACTCAGCTTCCTTTATCGCGGTGTAATTTTAATTTTTTTTCCTGTTTAAGTGACTGTTTGTTCAGGGGAATGATTAACTGTGCCCTTTCATGTTTGGAACAATCAAGGACAGTTTGAGACACAGGAAAAAAATGCAGGTAGTCATCGGGCCTGAGCAGGAATGTGATGGTTGAACTTGGCCGGGGGGGGGGGGGGGGGGTGGTATGAAAAGGATGTTATAGCATCACATGGGGTGTTGGTTTGTTCATGGGGCTCCACTGAAACAGTCACTTTGGGGCTTTTATGCTGTAGTAACTGTTTGTGGCCAATGGGGGGCCACAAACGCATGGTTTGAGTGCTAGCAAACTTCGAACGTGGTTGGACCGTACTGTCTTTGGGCCACAGGCTGACTGGGCTGAGCGAAAGGACGGCGATGGCTTCTTTCAGTCCTAGATGCATGTTCATGATGCTGTCGGATGTAGCGGGCATTGATCTAAAGATCGGGACGCGCCGTTTCGTCATGTTATTATACGACATACAGTACTGTAGCTACATCTCAATTAAAAATATCTCTTGCCTGATATATGTGGCCGGAATTATCACAGAAGGACACGAGCCGAATGGGACTCAAAGCAAAATTAAGATTAGGTGGTCCAGTGTGATCTTAATTTGCAGAGGTTTTACGATATTATTAACCAGCTTGTGTAACCTCCGAAAGAGTTATTCATTTTAATAACAGCATTAGTGTAGTTATACAGTGGTGATCATTTATTGCAGGCTATGAAAGTCTTCCTGAAATAAAATGGAACATTGTTCACGGTTGTCTTATGTTATTATTATTATTATTATTATTATTATTTGCACTTACGTTTTGAGTATCACTGGCCTTTTCTGGACCTTTGTGCAGTCTTCCTGGGCATGCTGGAGCACGCTGTAAAAAGCGTCATGCCAGCTCCTTCATTTTTAGAGGCCCCGTGCTGCCCACAGTGACCTGAGTCCGTGTGATCTATAAAGGAGGGCCGTCATCACTAAGGAAGGATCCGATCCGCGTGGCTGCTTGGCGTGAGGCCAGAGATGAACTGCAGGCCTAACCGAGCGCTGATGGTGCCCCTTGATGTCCTCCACAGGCAACTCCACCATGACAATGGAAACCACCAGCAGGTCCAGTTCGGTAAGGATAGGACACGCCAGTTATGGCACTTTAATACATAGAGTGATTGTCACATGTCTGATCATTTGGGGTGTAGCTAGAAATTCTGGGCTCCCGGGTGAAATATCAGCTTGGGCCCTCAGTAGATTTTACTGACTGGGCCCCCGCGAATCTAGGGTATCCATGTTCCTCCGGTGCCCCTGCTGGCCAATGAACTTCAACAGAGGTGGAAATCTCAGGTCCAGAAAGTACAAATCCAGACCAAGATTTTGTTTCAACCAACCAGTTGAGTACTCTGTGACTGTGACTCTTTATGCTCAACTGGTTGGTTGAAAGTAAATCATGGGCCGGATTTTTGAAATTACCACCTCTAACGTTCAAGTTAGTCGAAGTTTTTGGGAGTCATAGTCACAGGTTTCCCCCAAACTTTTGCTTTTGTTTCAGGCGCCCAACATCGCAGCCATCGTCGCGCCCAGCGTGATCCTGGGTGTACTGGCCATCGTCGTCATAGTGCTGGTGGTCTTCTTCTGCATAATCCGCAAGAAGCGGCAGACGGAGGGAACGTACCATCCCAGTGCCGAGGAGCAGACGGGGACCAGGAGTGTCCAGGCGCCCGACGCACTCAAGCTGCCCAAGGAGGAACGGCTCATTTGAGCCCCGTCCCACACATGCTGCGTGATGATTGGATACCCAAATCAGACAATGTGCTGTCGCCATGCTGGGAGGTCTAGAGGTGCCAGCGTTTATAATGAACCCCCACCCCCCAGTATCCTTATACCCAAAATCCTGCTGCCTTATGAACCTGGACACACGGTTCCAGGAAATAACTGAGAGCTCTATGTCGCCGCCCTATTGACCAGGATTCCAACTGCTGCGCCCAGATGAGGCAGGAGTGCCTGGAGGTAGGAAAATTCATGCTGGACAGCAGACAGATCAACACAGGGTTAGAACCAGTACTTGGGGACGGGGTGCTGAGTGCCGGTGTGTCAGATGGTTTTGTTCAGTTCTGTTGGCTGTGTTCATCAGATTGGCTTTGGACCTTCTTCGACACACAGCTTCAGTAGTATATCTTATATTCCGATAAATACACTACAGTTTTGTATTCATGATTAATTAAGAAACATATGGTAGGCTATGCAAGTTTTGTCTCCCATTCTGAATCCTGTTGTTTACGTGGATACCAGTTGCTGTAGTCCCAGAATAGGCCTCTTAACTTGGTTGTCCAAGACTGCACACTGGCTGCTGTGGACGATCGGGTAGGTAATGTTTTACACTGGAAGGTGACGTGCCACTGAACATTTACACCACTAGATGACAATACTTGCCCCAACAAGTTAGACGTTGTCGATCTCCAAGCTTAAACTGCGGAATCTGTCAGTATCTGTACTGGTGAGTTTATGGACAGCATTCCTGTACAGGGAGCTATTTATATATTTCTGAAATGTCCCCTGATGTGGCACGATTAGTTCCTTAGGTCACAGTGTGAAGGTTTTAGTTTGGTGGAATGTCAAGTTCTAGCAGTAAAAGAAAAACAGATAGGACAGGTTTGGAAACAAATGAAGTCAAAATGAAACTGAATAAGCCAGTTTACAATTCGACAATGATGTTACAACATATTTTGATTATTTTTTTTTCCCAAATAATGATCTATTGTTATACTGGAATCATTTTTTTTGTATCACTGTAAGTTCATTGTGCACGTGCCGATGAACTTCTTATAAACGTCACCGAAGCCTCGCGATTAGCCCGGTCCCCACCCTTTAAATGCCGGACAGAGTTGATCGTGACTGGATGGGAAGTGTTTCAACCTGTTCTGGGAAGCACGGCCTGGTTTTGCCTTACCTGGGGTGGGGAAACAGGGTGCAGGATGCATATCAAAACCTTAAATAAATGCTGCAAGTGATGGTCCCATTTGTCATCTCTCATCTTTGTGTGTGTTTTTTGTTGTTGTTGAGATCTAGACTTGTATATGCGTGTATATTTTGCCATAGGAGCAGGAAGACATTTTGAGATCTGGGTGCTGAAGTTCCTTTGTATCATCAGTAGTTAGCGGCAGATAACAGCGGTAGGTTTAGGAGAAATAAGCATGAAGTCGCCTCTGAGACATTACTAGAAAACTAATGACGCTGTTTTTCTTTGACGAAATAGAGCAGGGGTTGCCGAAGTCCTTCCGGCGCGGATGTATTTTGCTGCGTGTAGTCGACGGGGAGATGTTTCTGGAACGTCCCCAAACAGAATTACTTTGTGTAGCTTCTTAAAACTATGTGGGATTTAGGATAACAGAGCTGATGGGGAAATTCCTTTTTTCGGCTTCAGCCTATCCATTGTATGTTTTTCGGTGGGGTTTTATAAATACTAAAATTTGCTAATTTCATTATTAAAAAAAATAAAGTTAGTGAAACAGAGGAAATAAAAGAAAGTAGTATGTTTCCATTACACACGTTAGTAATGGAAGTAATGCTTGAAATGCGGAAAAACAGGTGCCAGTATTGCCCTTGTTATTCAGCACCGGCAGATCCCGTGAGGTGCCAGGAGGCCTCTTCCCAAGAACCGTTCTCAGTACTCAGTACAATGCGGTATCGGTACTGCGTATAGCGGTGAATATCGGCCCACTTCAAGCACTGGATATCGCCATAGGAAATAGAAGCCCTTTTGTTTGTTGTGCGTCTTTAGGTCGCTGTAACAGAGCTTGTATGACCCCCCCCCCTTTTACTTGTAGCAATAACACTGGGCATCATTGTAGCTCGACGCCTTATCTCCATAAAACGATACCAATCTCCGCACAATTTCACAGCGTAGAAATGAGTCTTTCCCGTTGACAAACTACTTCCCTTTGTCAGAGATGAGGGAGGGAAATACTCGAAATTAAAAAGAACTAACTCCGAAATCCGTAGGCATTCTCCCTTTGCGGCATTAAGTCCGACCGCTGAGTGATAAGCTGCATTTGGCTTTGTGTAGAATGGCCGGGATCTTTGCTGGGGCTGGTCTGGCACAATGACTTCTTGTTCTAGGTCAGGAGTGTATAGCTGCAGTCCTCATATTTCAGACAATACTTTTTAATTTCTAACTGATCGATATCTTAAACACCATTATTATTGACGGTGAGGATTAGGCATAGAAACACACAATCATTGTGATTTTTCTTTCCAATTTATGCTTTATGACAGCTGGGACGACCTTGGCTGAGATTAGATTTTTTTTTTAATTGGCTGACACTGGAGGGAGAGCGTGTGTTTCCCACTTTAAATTTGCTAAACCCAAAAAGCAAGACTTTTAGATTTACATTTTCTTGCAGGAACAGTACACAACTACACGCATTATCGCGCAACTTCGACTTCATGAAGGTCTATTTTTCGCAGCGCAATTGCGCATAGCCATAAATCATGTAATCCCGGACCCCTACCGGATGGCGTTATAAAACATGCCATTAAGAGGTTTAACATAGCTAAGGAGATTTCTTCTCGGAATTTTTGTGGCCGGATTCTGGTATCACGCTGCCATCTAGCGGATAGTTATGGAACAAAGAGGCTGACTGTCAATGCAAAAATGATAAATGTAGATTGCTACGAGTAACACACAACTCAGAAACTCAATACATCTTTAATAAATTATAGGTGACATTTCACTGTGTGTTCCTTCCATTTTTATAGCTGAATGGTTCCACTGCTTAGGTGTTATTCGTTGAAGTGCAGGAAATGTAGGGTTGACATTGAAGGGTGACTGAATTCATGCAGTAAACACAGACAGACAGCATTTTTTGTCTCCCTTAAAGGAATAACACATATGCTTTTACTGTTGGGTTGGGGATGTAATTGCTGAACAGATGGGGGATTCTTTTCCGGAAATGGAGTTTAGGCGACTTCCTCTTCACCTTCCTCTTCGAACTCACCCTCCTCAGCCGTGGCGTCCTGATACTGCTGGTACTCAGACACCAAGTCGTTCATGTTGCTCTCGGCCTCGGTGAACTCCATCTCATCCATGCCCTCGCCGGTGTACCAGTGCAAGAAGGCCTTGCGGCGGAACATGGCGGTGAACTGCTCGGAGATGCGCTTGAAGAGCTCCTGGATGGCCGTGCTGTTGCCGATGAAGGTGGCGGCCATCTTGAGGCCGCGGGGAGGGATGTCGCAGACGGCCGTCTTGACGTTGTTGGGGATCCATTCCACGAAGTAGCTGCTGTTCTTGTTCTGCACGTTCAGCATCTGCTCGTCCACCTCCTTCATGGACATGCGGCCGCGGAAGACGGCGGCCACCGTCAGGTAGCGTCCGTGCCGCGGGTCGCAGGCGGCCATCATGTTTTTGGCGTCGAACATCTGTTGGGTGAGCTCTGGGACAGAGAGGGCGCGGTACTGCTGGCTCCCCCTGCTGGTGAGGGGGGCAAAGCCGGGCATGAAGAAGTGAAGGCGGGGGAAGGGCACCATGTTGACGGCCAGCTTGCGGAGGTCGGCGTTGAGCTGCCCGGGGAAGCGCAGGCAGGTGGTGACCCCGCTCATGGTGGCCGACACCAGGTGGTTGAGGTCGCCGTAGGTGGGCGTGGTCAGCTTCAGCGTGCGGAAGCAGATGTCGTAGAGCGCCTCGTTGTCGATGCAGTAGGTCTCGTCCGTGTTCTCCACCAGCTGGTGCACGGAGAGCGTGGCGTTGTAGGGCTCCACCACGGTGTCGGAGACCTTGGGGGAGGGCACCACGCTGAAGGTGTTCATGATGCGGTCGGGGTACTCCTCGCGGATCTTGCTGATCAGCAGGGTGCCCATGCCCGAGCCGGTACCCCCGCCCAGGGAGTGTGTCAGCTGGAAGCCCTGTAGACAGTCGCAGCTCTCTGCCTCCTTCCTCACCACGTCCAGCACCGAATCCACCAGCTCCGCTCCCTCTGTGTAATGCCCCTTGGCCCAGTTGTTGCCAGCTCCGCTTTGGCCTGCGTGTAAAACAACGTACAACATTTCACCCGACTAAACCCATCCACAACCTTCACTTCACTAATTAATCCTCACATTAATCACTATCAATGGGGGTAAACCATATTATTTCAAATCCTAGTGAAAAGGCAGCATTGACTCAAGCGGTCACATGACGACTATTCTGGGATCCCCACCCAGACAAAAACGACAGGGTGTCGCAGTGAACTAAGACTCTGCCAGGGCAACAGATGGTCTTTCTATCCCACATCCACTCAATCGCGTCACAGTACAGAAAAACAACAGCGGAGTGTCAAATACTACCTCAGGCGATATTTACACTTTTTTCAAATGGCAAAGCACAACATGTAGACAGAAATTCAAGTGTTTATCACAACATACGACCGAATCGAATCGCAAAAATGGGGCCCAGGGCAGCGACAGGAATCTGTCACATACGGAGGGAGAGGACGTCTTCAGCGGCATATGCATGGAAGCCCAAAGCGACTAGTACTTACCAAACACATAGTTGTCGGGCCTAAAGATCTGTCCAAAGGGTCCGGATCGTACAGAGTCCATTGTACCGGGTTCCAAGTCCACCAGGACGGCTCGAGGGACATACTTTCCTCCTGTATCGAAAAACAGCCAGAAAACAAACAAACAAACAAACAAATAATAGTAGTAGTAGTAGTAAAGATATGGTTTGAAATGCAGATGGGATGCCCACTTTCTGCTAATCTGTGGTTCTGTTCCTATCTCCCGTCATCCACAGAGCACCATCATCAACCCGCAACCCTCACTTATGAGGTAATACACTGTCTGCACTCGGATCATTTCCATCGCGCCCTTGCAGTCCGCGTGTTTACGTTTGGCCCCAGTGTCAGTGGCACCCTCACCTGTGGCCTCGTTGTAGTACACGCTGATCCTCTCCAGCTGCAGGTCACTGTCCCCGTGGTACGTCCCCATGGGGTCGATGCCGTGTTCATCACTGATGACTTCCCAGAACTGCGTGGAGTCAGGGCAAGGAGAGAAAGAGAGAGGACGAGGGAAGAGGGGGATGGAGTGAGGGAGGTAGGGAATGAGAGGGATATGGGGAGACGTATATCAAGGGATGGGGGATGGGGGACAAGAGTCTGGCCTTTAATGTCGTTCTTTTTACACCTGGGCTTCTGTGAAATTTCACATAGTTACTATTACTGACATTTGATTTACTTGCTATGACACACTATGTCATAATTAAATTTTTTTTCCATTGCTACAAAGTGCATGTTTTTCAATTAAAAAGTAAAGATTGTTGATGAAACATATTCCTATATTTCATTTAGTAACTGCGACGATCTGGAACAGGAAAATCCAGCATTTATTGCGCAAGATTTCTGGAAAATTCTTGGTATGATGATAGACGTATCGGAAGCGACAGCAATGTTACGCACGCATGCGAATTAAATTAATGCGGGCATTTGCAGACAGCGCGACTACATCCCACAAAATTGTATATCGAGCGTTATTGTCACGATCATATTACCTTCGCTCCGATTTGATTCCCGCATTGTCCAGCCTGGAGATGCACTATTTCGCGCATGTTGATAGCGGCAGAGACAGCAGTCGCTCGCTTTCGCTTTGCACGCTCCTTCAGGTCCAGGAGAGTGACTGCCGAGGACGGCGCGCGTACACCAAGTGATCCAGTGCTGCAGCGTGACGTCATCCCCATGGCAACCGGGCCTTAGGGATTAGATGCAGCGCGAGCCCCGCGCGATGAGTGACACAGTGCCTAGATATTGGCCAACTTGACAGCCGTGTGATCGGTGGTGCAAATATTTCCGTGCTGCAAATACCATATGCAGCAATTTTTGCAAATTAAATAATTTCAATAAGATTTAAATACATTAACCCAAGCAATTACACTGTACTCGTTCTGTTAACTCGAAAATATAATGGTAGCGAAGATTTTTTTCTAGAGGCAATGAAGGTATTTGCATAGTGCACAATGCTATAGTTTTTTTGCAGTATAATGTATTTTTATAAAAAACATAATGTATATAAACGTTTACCACAATACGAATAAAAGTATTGTTTTATTTTGCAATATTTTATAAGGTCATTGGTTTTTCTTCAGGGTATGTTGCCGACATCTAGCGGTTAGGGAATGTCTTTTCCTTTCACTTTTTTTGTGTACCACGTTTTAATTTCTCTGCGTAGGTTTGCATACCTGAATAAACTCACAGTTTCCCAGGAGGAGCTGTCCAGCAAATTCAGCAGTCAGCCGATGGAACTACACGTCCTATGGCGTGAAGTCGCTGGAAGCTTAAACTGAAAATGTCACTCATTCATGAGCTACAGTAGTTTAAATTGTGAATTTCCATTCATGCATAGGCGTATAGGTGTCATTAGTTTTTCCTAAATTAAAAGATTGGCGCAATGTTACATTTTCCTATCCTCTACTGCATGTTACATTTTAAACGCGTAGCTAAAACACGTGGCCTATTGAATATTTTGATAATTATTTTTAACGCAAAATTCTGTCAACTCACTTTGTTGTCCTTGATGCAAGTAAAAACGAAGCGACAAATTCGTTTTCTTTTTTGGTACTTAAAATAAGTAATTTAGTATTGTATTGTTAAAATTAAAGGGTCAGTATTCTGGAGCTCCTTCACATATTTCAGATATTGTTTAAAATGCATCTAAGCAACTAGCCGGCGACTTCGCAAAATTTTAGAGGAACCCCAAGAAAAGACACAGCGTTCGTGGTAAAATCAGGGATAACGCGTAACAGTCACCCGTCTTTAAGGCGACATACTTATAAACAATTCCTAATGGGCGATCAAAATATGTGTGGGCCAATAAACCGTTTCAGTAGGAGGAAACTATAGAACGAAGGAACTGATTTATTCTCACTGAAAGGAAAAAATTGCGTTTTGCCTACACCAGGTGGCGCCATAATCCCAGAGAAATCTAGATCATTCGATCTGGGAGCAGCATTATTATTCATACATGCATACGTCATCCCTGCAATTAAGTTTTGTCTTGTACAACATTACCTAAATCACAAAATAACATGGATTATTTTCTTGTTATTTTTTTTAGATTTAATTTATATGGCATTTTGTCAGTTTGTTGTCCTTCGGTCGTGACACCTGCTGGGTGACAGTCTGGCAAAAATGCTGGCTAGCAGGATTGAATGAGACAAGTGAGTTTATCACAGTAAGGAAACCATACTAAAGTGATATAAAGCTCATTTGCATACAGCAGTATAAGCTGGTGGTAAGTGCTGACATGAAGCTGAAGCTGACCCTGTTCACATCCTACTGACCCAGGGTCAGCTAGGGTCCAGTACCTGAGATGCTTATATGCATGAGACTGCATGGTAATCGGCTGCCAGAGGCAGAAAAGCTCACATACACCCAACCCCTCTCTGATTGCTCGGCCTCTCACTTACATGATATATTTATAAAATGTGTCATGATCACGAGAAAAGCTGCAGAAAATTGCCATGTCCTTGTCAATCTAGATTATCATGCATTTTTAGAGTACATTATTTATAAACTCGCAGTAATAAAACATTCACAAATATCTACATAATTAACCACTCACTAAACCTTCAAGATTCACAAAAACCACCAGTGTACGCAATACTATGCAAATGTTGTAGGTAATCAGCAGAAATTATGGTTAACTGATCTTGATGTTGGTGTGGAACAATGATCAAAGTGTGTCAGCCATTTCAAAACCTCCCTAAGGTCACCCTATTATTTACAGCAATCATCCATCACTCGATCACTAGCGCAGCATGTTTGGCTAATCGATACCTCAAAAAGGGCTTTAACTAATTAAGTTAAATAATTAATTGAGCTGGTAGAGAAATTTAACTGATACATGGAATGGCTGAAGTGCCCCTGAAGAGAGGTTTGGGATCTGAAGTGGTGTTCATCTAGCCACCCAACAAGGCATCAGCAACTTTTTATAGAACATAAGAAATCCTTGTTTGTTTTTTATCGTTGCTGTTTATTTGCATATGTTCTGCTAGATTCCATTTTTTTTTCTGAGAAAATATACTTTTACTGCCCAGATAAACAGCCTTAAACATTTTCTCTGACTGCCTACGACGTCTACTCAGTACTGTAAGTCCTTTTTCGTTTCCATTTCACCTTTCCATAAGACATTTAGACGCCATACGCAAATGCACACGAGAAAGTACATTTTTTACTGTGCCTAAGTATGAAAGATGATAAAAGACAAACAAAGGCTGGCACTAATGCATGCTTATTCGGTTAACATAGATGTAACAAGAAAATCGATTTTATTCACTTCAAATTTCCTGAATCCACAACAGATAGGGCACATTTGGCAGTCGGGTCAATTTTGGTTGCATCAAGAGCAAACATCTGTGGGGGGGGGGAATTACAGCTGGACTCTTAAAAAGCTAATATTAAAACAGGCTCCAGGTAACTGTACTTCTGTAGATTTCAATCAAACCTATTTCCTTGGCTTAATTTGTGCAATTACTAGTTGATTACCTGTGACATATACAAACAATCATTTTAACGTTATAAATTCAGTATTTACCAAACATAGGGCAAAATAACAGCAAAATAACTGTCCTTCGACATGGTTTAAAAATATCAAAAGTATTAAAATAATAGCAATAATCAGGAAATTGTCAGAACATATTGGAGAAGAGTCCAGCATGAATATAGCTTTATAGTAATTATGCTTTATGTTATGCTTGTTTTTTATAGAGAAAATTCATGAGATCTGGGAGAAGCTCTGAATCGGAGTTTTGAAGGTGACCCCATCCTATGATTGGCGGGCAGCATCCATTGCGACAAAACTTTTAGTAATTTTCTCTCATTGGCAATGTTGCCCTCTTGTGGAGGTGCATTTATGCGGGCGGAGCCTCGTCATTCTTTTTTGGGGAGCATCTCTGTCTGCAGGCATCGCTGATGCAGGGCAGCTTCTCCAGGCGGGACAGGTAGATGAGAGGCTGCATGCTGCTGCTGATGTTAACGAACGCGAAGCCGACCGGCTGCACATAGCAGCGGAAAACGTCGGGGTTGTAGCTATCCTGGAAGGGAAACAGGGCCACTGGCGGCAGGTAGTTGAAGATGATTATGGCCAGGATGGAGAGCACCATCTTAAAGGCTTTCTTCTTCATCGGGTGCATCTCGTCACGTCCCGCCCTTGAGCGCTGTAGTGCCCACAGGATGGAGAGGTTGCACAGCACCATGAGGGTGAACACGGTCAGGATCTCTCCTGTGAAGATCCTCTCAAAGTGGGGGACCCTGTCCGTGGCCTTGGCGGCGGCATAGGTTAAGGTGAGCAGCAAGACCAGCCCAGAGCAGGAGAATCGGTATTTGTGGGATTTCAGGCGGCTAAAGGTGATGGGGAAGACCACGGCCAGAAAGCGGTCCATGCAGATGCAGGAGAGGAAGAGGGGGCCACTAGTGTCTTTGACCCCATAGGCGAACTTGATGGCCCTCCAGCCTTCTACGCTCTGCCAGTAGTAGAGGTTCAGGAAGGAGATGGGCACCATGACACCAAAATAGGCATCCATGAAAGCCAGGAGGAAGATGAACATGTCTGATGTAGAAGGCTCTCGTCGGTTCCTGTAGATGGTCACCATGACCAGGATGTTGGCAGGCAAGCCCAGAAAGACGTTGAAGACCTGCACGCACAGGTCGAACAGAATTGCGGCAGACATCTCTTCGCAGCCGTCAAAGACGCTGATTGGCTTCGCCGTTGCGTTGCCTATGCTGTTCATCGTGCTGTTGGCAGGGGGCAGTGTGGTGCTGACGACAGCGATGTAGGTGTCGTTGAGGACAAGTTGTCCATTCATAGCTCACTCCTGCAGTCCGAAAATATACTCAGGTTCTGATGGAGACACCAAGAAGTGCAATCAAGAATAGTTGATAGACCAATTCATCCCATAATGGGTATTAGCAATAGGGCAAAATAATTGGGTCATTAAGTAACGTTACTGGTGTCCCACAATTGGATGTCTTGATTTCTTTGGTCATGGTCACTTCTTAATACAGTATCACATGTGCTTCATCCATCCATACATTGTCAGTTAGCAGCAGACTATATTTTAAATATGCTAATACACAAAACAAACATCCAAAACTGTCAAAATTCCTGTTTGTTTTTCCATGACGTTATTGCATTGGGCAAACATCTCAAATAGCTCAATATGTCTGATTTTTTTTTGTCAACTTGCAAAGAATATTACACTGTAAAAATCAAGTCCCAAAAATAAAATGGGAAAAAAATAAATTAAGCTTAACAAAGCTCACTGGTATGTACAATGGACTGTATTGGGTTACTGAGGTCCTTGTTTACCAGCTGATGGTGACAAACTAGTTGCAGACAGGGACTGGGGCAGGTGCTACATAACAGTGTTTGTACAGCAGAATGAGGCTCTGACTGTTTTGTTATTATGCCCTGAGGGACTCACCCCACCATGTAACAAAAGCTCTATGAGTCTTCTGCCTCTTCACAAACAAGCCTCCTGATACCCCAGGGAAGGAGGGGCCCGATCGGGGAATGGCCCGCCCCTCTCCGCTCGCCACAATAAAAGGCGAGCGATCTTCGTGCCGGAGAAGACACCTGTACTGAGCTTTCCGCTCACCCTGTACTGACTGTGCCTTGTATAACAATTAATTAATAACCGTCATTAAATAATAATTAATTAAGTTAATTTCAAAACATATTGGTGGAGATATAAAAATTTGCCTGAGCTAATTATTCCTGCACAGAACATTTGTAAATGCCAGAAGTGTGAGCTGTTATGTTGCATCAGTGACGTTCATGATTTGAAGACTGGTGCAAGTAAATGAGTAATGAGACTGATGGGTATGTACCTGGGGCTGCTAATATAAGTAAGTATTTTGGCCCCTCCCCCATCCTGAAGCACCGCCCCCTCCGGCACTGGAGTGTGCGGCTCCCCCTCTGGTTCCCTTTGGTACAGCGTTGTGATTTAATAATCTCCAAGAGTCTCTCCCTCCGGTCCCTCATCCACCCCACTGAAGCACTGGCCTGGACCCCGGGGATTTCTGGATCCTTCTGGGGGGAACAGTGCTGTTTGTCACAATGTCCCTTAGGATCAGCTGTCCAGATTTTTTCATGTACATAAGTGACAAACAAAAATGACGTACATGAAGACATAATTAGGTCAGGTTTGTGTATGTGTCTCTTTTTGTGCCAGAAACCCGTTTAATATGTTACTTCATAAAAATTATTTTGGAAAAGCAGTTTATTGCCACAACAGTTTGAATAACTTGTGAACAACTACTGGATTTTCCTCGTCCCCAAATATATATTCTGAAGAAGAAAATAAGATGATGTCATGCCAGATTTCATTAACTGGAGAATAAAACTGGATCAAGGACTATGTGTTTTGTGTTATTTATTTATAAATAACAGCATAAGCATTACATTACAATCATTATAACCATTGTGTGCAAACAGAACTCAGACAGTTATCAATTCATACCTATTTCCAGCTTCTAGTATGATTTACCCATAATCCTCTACCCTTCCAGCATGTAGGTCTTTCAAAAATTATTTCAGTTTTTTGGTCACTTCACCCTTAGTTGCTGTTTCCTTTAGTTCAATGTCGGCATTTTGTCGAGTGACTATGTCATTTAGCTTAGAATCAGACAATAATCAGTGCAAAAGCTCTACAGACCTAATTCTACAGGTCAAACACAACACGTAGCTGAACATAACATGATGCAAAGCATTCCGCAATTCTCCGCTGTCCCTGCAGGGCCAAAGGCCAGCCTTACCTCTGTCCGGGATGATAGACCGAGTGACTTTCTCCGCGGCCTCGTGAGTGGGAAGTCGAAGAGGTGCAACTTCGTTTATGAAAGGGAGGATCCACCCGAATGGTTCTGGGCCAGGTTCCTTTGGGAACGCACCTGTGGAGGTGTTTTTCGAGAAGCCCCGCGCAAGAGGACTCTGAAGACGCCCTGATTCTGTGGGGAACGAGCTCAGATGCATGGGCGGCAGTGACGGCTAACTCAGCCAACTTCATGACAACATAAAAATTCAAATTCAAATTCAAATTCAAATTCAAATTTTCATTTGTCACATGCATCATCATACATACTACAACCTGCAGTGAAATGCTTATTGCAATGCTCCGAGGAATAATGGGTAAAAAGGTATTTAAAACTATATAAAAAGATAGAAAGAGATTAGATATAGTATTATTTATACTATGTACAGGGATATAAAAAAATGTATGTGCTATATTGCAAGTGAGACCTAAAATATAGATATAAAAGTTGTATATATATTGCAGAACGATGAGATAGCATAGATGTATGGAGTGTATAATAATGGTGTTATGCATTGGGGGGAAAAGAGTGAAGGGTTGATGATGTCACTCCGTCACCGTCACTCTCTCGCATCCTGGGTATTGTTCGCGTCGGGTCCTGATCACACTGTCGGGGCTTATTTCGCGATAACTACCGGCTGCCTGTACATTATCCCGCTTATTACACGGCTACTTGCCACATAAGGAAAAAAACTGGACATGAATATGAATTTGAAACATTTTATTGGCATATTTGTTTTAAATTAACATTTTTAAATGGTAATCTTTGTTGGCGCGGAGGGATTTTAAACATACAAGTAGTATAATGTATGTGCTATGCTTTATTACTTTGGAGCGATTATTATTTGAAAAGAACGAACCTGCAAATGTCTCAACTGACCAATCAGAATCAAGCATTCCAGAGAGCCGTGTAATAATGAATTGTAACTATCAAGCAGCTGGCAGATAACAGGCACCTGTGTACTGTGAACCTCGGAGGGACCGTGTTGCGTTGCCATTCCGCCTCTGCCCCACATCCTTCAGCTTAGTATAAAGCGCCGGCCAAATCCCCAGGGACCATCTGACACCCCGACCCACTCACACCTTTAACTGGTTATAGTCGAACAACACCGGTCTCCAAGTGTAGCTCAGGAACTCCTGTAACGATTGACAGAGAAAGTGTGCAAGATACTCACAGAACAAAGCAAATTGGCCAGCAAATTGGGTTTTAAAGTCACATCTGAAGCCGCGGGGAGCGTAGGTTGGCCGGGTTCGTGAAGGTTATGGGGGGCTTTTGTACCCAATGTTCTCTTACCACAAGGTCACGCACACACACAAAAAACTTATTTCTATATAATTACCTTAAATACAAGGAAAAAAGAGGAAAACCTCGTTATGATGTCATTGATGGACTTGTAATGTCCATCGATAACCAGTGAGGGCAGCATTGACCTATTGGAGTCCTAAACGCTGAAACGGTTGAGAGAATGGCTGTAGATTTAAAAAATTATGCTATACAAGTGCATGCTCACATCCAAATAATCCACACTTGCAGGAAATGGTGGTTTTCTCCCATATGTGAGTAGAGATATTCCACCGAAAAGCCACAAGAAAGTCAACATGGATGACGGCATAAGTGAAATGCTCAAACTGGTGTCGTAACATTGAGCACTATGCTGAACCCGAATCTTTCCAGGAAGCTGTTCAACTGTGAAATGAACAGACATTATACAATTAAACACATGAAGTAAAACAAAGCTAGAATCAAAACAAATCTACTTTTTAAAGTCGGTCATTAGTCACATTAAAGCCCCTCCCCAAGTTACGATGGGGTTACGTTCCGATACACCAATATCATAAGGTGAAAATACTGTATGGTGAAAATGCATTTTAACACAGTACACCTAAGCTAACAAACATCACAGCCTAACCTAGCCAACCTTAAACATGCTTAGAACACTTACATTAGCCTACAGCTGGGCAAAATCATTAACACAAAGCCTATTTTATATTAATGTGCTGAATATCTCATGTAATTTACTGAATAATGTACTGAAAGTGAAAAAACATTTACCCATCGTAAAGTTGAAATACTGTAACATGGACCATCGTAACCCTGGGAGCGTCTGTATTGAAATTTCTTATTAATACCATAGATAATGTTTCATAAAAACGTGCCCGTATTACGTGATTACATGACCGCAAACGGAGCTGCCATGTTTGTCTCCCGCCTTTGTGTTTAACATTCGACTCGTTCCCGCACCCTGTCCACACCCTTCTCTCACTGACACACACAGCTTCCCACCTTTGTTCCCTGGCTGCCCTTAACGATTTGTTCACTGCTTGCCTCCAGGGCCGTTTGCGGCATGTTTTTCTGCATGCAGATAAAGGGCACGATTTCCTGTTACCTCTCAGTTAATGGTTAGGGTGGTGGGTGCTGGGTGGTGGGTGCTGGGTGGTGGGTGGGGGGGCGATTCCCTCTTTCCAGAAGCATTTTCCGAGTGGCCACTCAGTGTCACTGCGCCTCATTCGGCACCACTAATGGGTCCTAACCCAGAGAAATGATGCTGTCTGTGTTCACCATCCCCACGGGCAAACTAGTGTCTGTCACGTGCACGCTGTCATTGTTATACCCAAACTCACAATAGACACACACACACGTGCACAAATGACTGTCCGAGCAGGATAAGGCCGGACCACAGAAGATTCCAGACAACCCAAGCCATTCTGAACTAACCTATTATTATTTATCTGTTTATTGTTAGTCACTATATTTATTGCACCCTGTTACGAATGACTGTATTTCTTATTATTTGTGTACATATGGCATATAAACCCTGGTGTTATTTATTGCCCTGCTGTCCTGTGTTTTGCACTGTACGCACTGTGGAAACCTTATACTTCTCACTTGCTGTTTATATGTTGCACTGTGATCCTGGGGGGAGTGTTATTTTATGCCCCTGTATACCTGCTTATGGATGGTATGACAATAAAGTTCATTTGACTCCACTTGACCC